TTGAAACATCTATTCATTGCTCCATTAGGGTTTTTCTTAAAAAAGCCATTAACAATTGAAAATATGAATGAATGAAAAAAATAAAAACACAACTGAAAAATAAAAATAATCTTGCTCATATAGTCTCTTAAAAGGATATTTCTGGTTTTACAATGTATGTACATGTGTGTGCCTTCTCTAACACCTCCCTTGTTCTTGTTTGATCACACCACACCATTTGGTCAGAGGAGGGTGGACAAGACACATTTCTATCAGCAAAAGTAGGAGGCTTGTAGCTACTTATACAGAGAGAGACACGCATTGGCCAGCTTTTGTTAAACACGAGAAGCACATGAGACTGCTAATACACTTGCACACGCACACACACAAGCGGTCTCCATGGTGATGGCTATAATGCTCATATTGAACTTGCCCCCTGCATCTGTTTCTGTGTTTGCAGTCTGGGTAATTATGCATTCATCATAACCACTTGACTATTTAATTTTCTCCACATAGTATTCTCAGAGAACCACAAATGAGCATAATAAATATTGTGGCTTTTAAAATATTTTACATGATTGGATTGTTCCCCTGATTCGGTCTCAATCACAGGCATAAACAGATGATCCATTTTCAAACCTTCTTCCCTCTCCTTTTATTGATCTTGTTGCCATTATTTTTGACCAAAGTGGCAATTGAAATTAAAATTTAGATCAACAAGGCCATCTGGTGGTGAACTGAAGAAGTTGACAATATTTGTCAAATAAGTGTTTATGACAAATCTAGAAGGGTCAAATAAGTACTATTTAACAGTAACTCAATGAACACATGTTTGCAAAAAAATTCAATTTCTGTATTTAAAAACATATTTAACACTAGCAGTACAGTATATCTAATAAGTAACTGCAAATAAAACTCTTACATAAAGACTGGTGCTTGAATGGTGGCCCTGTTCAATCCCATTGTGGACTCCAGTTTCCTCCATCAGCATAACATTCAGCAGGTTCAAAGTGCTGAGTGAGTGATGGTGGTGGTCAGACAGGCTGATGGCACAGACTAGCTGCTTTGCTTCTGTCACCACAAAGTGTGGAGTGAATGAATGGTGAGTTCAGTGTAGAACTTTTAGAGATTTCAACAAGCCTGTAAAGCGTTTAAGGCTTTAAGGCATTCATATTATTATGACTATTTGAAACCACAACTCATCGTCTGGATGGGGCAACCTCTTTGATCCAGGTGTTGAAAAACCAAGTCTGAAACTGTTATAAAAATTATTTCTTTACCAATATTACTGACTTTCCTCAAGGATTGTGTAACAAATGCACATTCATTTTGCTTCATTATAAGCACCAAAATCATCATATCATGTACAGCTATTGATGATATATTCATATTCACCAGAAGCTAGAAGGTTAAACAACATTAATTAATGGACAAGCAAAAAAATATACATCAGAATAAACTGTGCTGATTTGATCATAAATATCTCAAATATTTCACCTTCTTTCCACCAGATTTGCGGTTAAAACACATTCAAAAGTGAAAAATGTAAGACCATAATCAGGATTTGGTTTATGGCCTGCATTGACCAACAGGTGCCTCTGTCCTGATTGATGAAACCTTACTTTAATGCCTAAGAGTCCCGTATTAAACCAAGGACACAATGTATTTGAGTCTATGTTTTATTGGCCATTACCAGAAGGGCATACGGTATGTTATTTACTGAATACAAATTCTTTACAGACCCATTGTACTTTGTCTGCATGAGGTCAATATTATGGATAAGCCAAGGTCACTTTGCTCCTCCCCAAACAATCAATCAGAGGGACACACAGAACTTCATGTAGTTTTTGTGTTTGTCCTTGCATCCATTGAATACAGAGAATATCATGATCAATCATATTTACTCTTTCTATTCATTATCAATGGGGAAAACCATTCCCAGTTTGAAACAGCTAGAGGAAACAACCAGTGACAAGGAAAACCGAACTGAACAGTTTATTCTTTACACTTAAAAATAAATACTATATCATGTAGCTATCAAGTAAATACAACCTTCCGGCAATAAATATGTTAGAACAAAACAAAGTAGTTCGAACTAGCTGACAGATACTATCTGTGAATGTCTATTGGAGAGCGCTGCATTCCCAAAGCCACAAATTCCTTTGTCTTGGCAACTGTCACCACATTTACACAACACCGCATCAATCACTTAGAAAGTTACCCATTTCTCTGCAACTCACTCATTCTGGGAAACATTTCAGTCATTTTTACCACAGTCATCAATTTGAATCCATAAACGTATTTTTAAAGACTATTGAACAAATAATGAACGAAATGTAGGCTGTGACATATAGCGACTGTAGATTTCTGATGTTTAATGCAGAACTGGAATTGTAAACAATCTATCACATTTTGGTTTCACGATCTGAGATCTATCAATACAATCCATTTGTTGATGAGTGAGGTCTTTTCACTTGGAGGTCCATTTTGACAGATTTTGTTTCCTCTGAAATTCCCATGGCCACCCATTTTCTAGATAATTGTTGTATAGTAAAAATCCATAGTCATGGAAAGGACAAGATTCATTTCAAACTATATCAACTCTGCCAGAATATCAATTGATGGACTGTAGTATACATTCTAAAGGAATTTAATTTGCTTTCAATAGACATTGCATTTCTGCATGTGCCAATATAAGTGGAAATGACCCTCTGTCTAAGCATTCAATAAATCACTCAAGTTAACTCTTTGCCTGCCAGCCTATTTCAGAACAGGTACTCCCATATTGCCAGCAGTTTCTGATGATTTTTATCAATTTTTCAAGACCCACGGAATATTGTGTACTATGACTATCTGAAATCAGATTCTGAAAGAATGTACTGTCTACTTTCATTAGCAAAGAAATTCCACTGGAGCTGATGATCATGACCGTAAAATTCAACCAAAATATGTGATACTTGAGACTAAATAATTTAGTTGCAAATAAAGTTTCTTGGGGATTTCTCCTCATATTCCTGAAAAAGGACAAAGAAGCCAAATCAGTTTTTGTTGCAAATGTAATGAAAAGTGAGACAGTGTGTAGGGGCCTTTCTTACAAAAGCTACCTACACAATTCCTTTTCAAGACCATTCAAGCACATGTCTTGGCTGAGTGGATAGCACTCTTGCCTCTCAGCAAGAAGGTCCTGGGTTCAAATCCCAGGGAGGACCAGGGCCTTTCTGAGTGGAGTTTGCATGTTCTCCCCGTGTCTGCGTAGGTTTCCTCCGGGTGCTCCGGTTTCCCCTACCACTAAAAATATGTACAATAGGTCTGACATGTGCCTCCTGTACTGGCACCCCCACTCGCAAAAATAACAATTGTAAACCGCTTTGAGACTCCGTTGTGCAGTGAAAAGGTGGTATATAAATATAAGATTACTTACTTACTTACTAAAGCCTCGTGTATGAAAATTGCTTTTCATACACTCTCTCCATCTATTGTGACAAAGCTTGAGCTGTTTTATGAAAAGAATGGACACACATGTAAGTGTCTAGACGTACATAGCTGGTTGAAATACCCAAAAAATACTTACACCTGTAACTGTAGCAGAGGGGATTAGAAAAGTATTGACTTTGTGGGGCTGAATACTTTAGAAAGCCACACTACAAGATAATTAACTTTCCTGTAGTTTTCCTGATAATTAAAAGTCCTGTATGACTTTCCTTCCACTTCAAAATTTTATGTAATTTTTTATATAAATAGAAATATATTTTTATATTTATAGAAAATCTTCAAGTTTGTGGTTATCACAAAACAGAATGTGGAGAGGTTTATTGGGTATGGATACTTTGAATTCCCTGTAACAAATTTGGTAATGAGAAACAAATTTAGAACTGTGTTACACAAACTAGAGTGATGAGTTAAGTGTTTGTGAACAACCTACAAAGATGTTAAAAGATGTTTGTGCTTTTGTGTGATACATCTGCACTACAACTGGTGGAACTTTTGTTTTCTTTTTTTTTTTTACATTGTAGTAGTAATCTTTATCTGTCGTATTGAATATTTCTTCATCCCTTCAATAAAAGATGCACTATCGCCAGAGGGTTTAAGGTGAGTCTGTTATATTGTCAAGCTAATACATGATGAAGGATGTTACTAACCAGACTTCAGCCACTATTCACTATTTCGCTATCCACCCATTCCCACACACATCAAAGGAACCTATTGAGAAGCAAAAAGTGCTATTTGAGTACTAGAGCACTAGGGCAAAAGGTTGTTGCTCTGGCCACAACATGCAGTTCTTGTTGGGACAGTAAATGTGTCTGCACATAGAGGAGATGCCCAGCTGTTCCTGATTTTCTCCTGGTCAGACGAATAAACCACATGCTAATGTACCCAAAAGTTCAGTTAATTTGTTCTGTGCAGTGGTCGCATCCGCAAGAAATGAACGCCATGAAAGGGACTGATATTGTATGCTAAAACCACTGAGGTCTGTATTCCTCAACAAGTAACAATGATGAATGGCTTTGAAACACAAAAGTGTTGTTTGAATGTATTACTGACAACAGAAGCAAGTATACAAAATATATATATTCGGCAGCAGTCAAATTGCAAAAGAAATTGCAAAGCATCGTAAAATATAATTCTACAAACATTATTCTAGATAAAAGAAGGAAAACTTAAGACACGTAGTGCATGATACCATGGCTTTAGCCAAAAAGCAGTCAATATTATAGTCAGCCCATAATGTTTTGTTTTTTAGGAAGAGTGAGCTACATTTTTGAGGAAAAGTCATTATCTGTCTCCCTCTAGTGGCAAGATGGCGAATACAGCCATAATGCGAAAATGTACAAATGCTATTCAATGCAATACAATGCATTCACATAAGGTAATGCAAAATATGTATATTTACTCAGTTCAAATATTCGAAATATGTGAGAAGCATCTATCATAAATATAGCCAATGCTTATGTTTAGTAAAGATGATGCTCCATTGGGTCATTCAAATATACAAATGCTCCATTTGTATGTTGTCCATTGGGTCAGTAAGGGTCCATCTTGATCCTTTTGTACAGGCAGCAGGTCAGCACCATCCCACATATCTGAAAATAGGAAGTAGCAAGTCAAAGAAAGCTGCTGGGCCACCATGTACGCCTCACTGCACAAAGCAAAAGTAAGAAATGGAACTTCAAACTGTGTAGCGCCCATTTAGGGCAAGGAAAGAATGCAGTTTTAACTGCCCAGAAGTGGATTCCAAAGCTTAAAGTATACACGTTGAATACACGAAAACACAAATTCCATAATGAAAATATAGACAACCAAATGTAATATAATGTTGGTTTACCACTGAAAGGTCAGTCTAAGAATAAGCTGGACATATTTAAGCAAGTCCAAACAGATAAGAGCCCAATCCGATCGTTATGTCGATAAAAGCCCTCTGAAAACAAATTATTGAGTGCATCTTGAGTTACACATTGACTTGTCACTCTTTTTTCTTGAGGCAACCTTGAGATTCCCCCTCCCACCCCACCAAGAATTTCTTTCTAATGTTAAAAAGATAAAATAAAAATAAAAATTATAATAATTACTGGTTATTTGGAAACTAAATTATAATGCAGTAATTGAAGCCATTCCAAGCAGACACAATCAAAAACACTGGCAATTGGTACAAAGCCAAGCTATTGGAGGCACAACAAACAAAATATATGCATGCAAATAATTTCAATTCCATATACCCAGTGATCTCAGGTGAGCTGATTAAACCATATGGATGCTTTAAAGCTAATCACAATGTGTTGAAGTCCTCCACCTCTTCTTTATAGAGTAGATAGATAAAACAGGCTGTCAACAGTGCCCCTGCCAACTACAGCAGCACACACCCAGAAAAGGACACACAAGGTAATGTGTAGAGTTAGTTTGAAACATGAGGTGACCAGGTAGAACAATGACAAGATGATGTGTAAAAATATACACTTAAAAGTGCAGATTAGGACCGTTTGTGAGAACTATTCATAAGACTGTCAAGTGTTAATTTTTTGTAAGGTTTTGCATAACTGTAGTTCATGGAAACAACCTATTGTGACACAGCTGAATCCGCTGAATCTAATGGGCATCAACAACATTTTAAAAAATAAGAGCAAAGCATAGAACCATCATCGGATACTGGCAATCAGTGAAAAAGCAGGGATTTTAGAAGCGAAGGCCCCATGGATGGGTTAAGGATAAAGATTTCACATCGCAGTGTGCCCAACATGGCAAACACCTCTGATTTTCTCTTATTTTTGCCGCTAGACACAAACACTTGAAACACGGCCTGCAAGAAAATTTGCATGGTTCAACCACCCACCCTCCATAGACCCCTAATAATGTTGGCTTTTTGCATAATGTGTGGCCTTAGAACGAGTGTTTCACAGGGGCATGAGAAGTTTATGCACATAGATGAACATAACAGACAGATAAACATGGTTCGAAAAGGGGTTGGAACATGTAATTGTTCCCATACTGTGTGGGAATTACATATCATGTTTAGAATTAAATATGTATTCATAATCTCAATTATAAATTAAAATAATAATAATTCATCCAGACATAAACAATATATAATGATAAATGCAACAATATTATCATTACTACTAGGTCTGGTGGCATTCTTTGATCATATTGTCTTGAAAGTCTTTAAACAATCATTAAATAATATATTTTCCTATATTATCTCCCTCCTCAATCTAATATAGGTGTAGGGCTGGGCGATATGGCAAAAAAAAAAAATCTCCGATTTTTTCACACCAAATCCGATTTTCGATTTTAATCGATTTATTTTTTTCTATTTAAAAACAAACTACAACTGACAAAGAAATAGATTTTCCTTTATGCAGTTTATCTATCTAAATCTAAATCCCCATGGAGCATAAGTGTAACAGGAATTAAGCCTTAAAACATGCTTGTAAACGAGATGGCTCTGCCATTGTAAACAGTGAAAATGTAGCTTAACAGTTTTATAATAACTTCACTTACAATGACACTATGCACCTTCAAAATAACTTAAATCACACAAACAAGGCCCATCGCAAATATATCAATCCTATTAAACACATGCATTATTTACATGAAATATCACATTTTTAAAACTGATTACTCAAAATAGAAATGTTGTAACAGACAGTATTTTCCAAAAGCCTCCTCGGGTTTTCATGCTTGTTCTTTCAACTGTGCCTGAGTAACTGTGCTGTAGTACAACGCTCGGTCCAGCTGGTGGCGCTAATACTAACTTCAGTGACTCCCGCATTGTGCGAGCTTCCTGTTTACATTCTGATGCTGTAGCTAACAGCTACTGTAGCAGCTACTGTAGCAGCTACTGTAGCAGCTACTGTAGCTAACAGCTACTGTAGCAGCTACTGTAGCTAACAGACAGCGGGGAACACGTTTGTATCAGAGCAATGAGAGCAATGTGTGAGACGTGTCTTTCCCCAAAGTGCAGCGGCTCAGTGGGACACGAGTGTGTGCGCGCCACGGACACGGGAGTGCGCTTTGGAATAACGAGCGTGAGAGAGCGTGAAAGATGTGGCGTACGAACATGGCGTACGAACATAGCGACCGGAGCCTGCGTGCGTGTGTGTGTGTGTTCTGGCGATTTAAATAAAGTCTGATTCTTGAACGTTTGAAGTGTTATTGCAACAGCACCAACTGTGAGAGCGAGCATCAGGCCAGAGGGAGACTGTTAGCATTAGGTTAGCTTCAAAATGACTGCTCAACACCATAGACCCGCGGTTAGCGCGTTAGCGCTGTAGTTCTGCGCTGGAGAAAATAAAAATCGAATTTTTCAAAAAAGAAATCGCCCTAAACGTAAAACTCGAATTAATGATTAAAATCGATTAATCGCCCAGCCCTATATAGGTGTTATTATTACCTACCTGCAGACATGCCACTCCAATCCCTACTGCTCCGATGACCAACAAATGATCTGCAAGAAACCTCTCAAGCTTTGTTATACAACCACCCTGCAAGAGATCAAAATAAGATGTAGTCATCCCAACTGAAGTAACCAAATATTAGTTGAACTAGGGAAGTTTAACACACTTCCACTTTGTAGATATTGGAGGGATGATCTCTTTTTCCACAAAAAGGAGTGATAGTCTTGCAACAGCTATCAGGCACCACTCTGCCCTCTGATTGTTTAGACATTATGTAGGCACTGAGCGCCCAGTCAAGAGAGTTGTTACTTCCACAACATTTGAACTGCAATATAAAAAAGATAGGTCAGGTTTTTCACAACACAAGTGATTGTAGCAAATACCCCTACACTCCTACATCCTGCTGCAGTCTGTCCACTGAAAATGTGATGGCATTCTTTTCTGGTTGGGCGTAGTTCTCTGTCATAGTACTGCTAAGATTCTGCTTTAATTCTTCACTTAGCTGAAATTCAAACATTTTACATCATTAAAATCAAAATTCTGATGAACAATTTACCAATGCATTTACCCTTTGATAGTAGACATAAGCCAAAACTCCAGCCACAAGTTCAATTAGGAAGATTAGCAGCAGCAGGAAGAAATACTGTTTAAAAAGAAACAAAGAGATTATAGTTGTCTGCCCACATGATGGAACCACACCATGTCTGCATATTAACCCACAGATGACATTTCATTATTTCCCTATTCACAGAACTATAAATACACATACACAATCATGTTTGATATTCAACATCAACTTTGTTAAGCCACCTCCTAAATCATACAGCACTTTTGCTTTCTATGGCTCTATCCATCAACAGGGGGAGAAAAGAGCTAGAAATAGACCTTCAGCCGCCTCTCTCCCACAGGCCTCTGTCTCAGTAAAATAATGAGGACAGTGAGGGGCCTGTCAGGGTCATTTGTCAAGATCCAGCACCGGACCAGAGAGCATAAAAGTATTGACAAGATCTTGTTGAGAGAGAAAGGAGAGTGTGAAATCTTTGGAAAGTGTCTGTCTTCAAGTTCAAAATGATCAATACAGGATTATGCAGAAGGTGTGTTAATGAAGGGAGTAGATGTTAACTAATAAAAATAAATAACTTAAATTACATTGTATTCATAAGGTACAGGCTTTCTGTTGCGCTTTCAAACATTATAAATGTTAGCATAACAAATAATTGGGTACATCTGATTAGCCATTGTTCTTTATTTGTTTGAAAATTGTGCCACACTTTATATATCGCAGCTAACTGTAGCTCGGTGTTGCACCTTAATGGACTGTATATTAATATATATTTTAGTAACTTGCACTTTTATTTAACTTATTTTAGTAACCTTCCCTTTTAATCAGAACTGTACGTTAATATGAGTCATATAATTGAATTGTAAGGACTACAGGTGGAAAGTAGCATGGTGCTAAATCTGATGCATCCATCTTTTTAATGCAACTGCATATTGTCCTTAATAAATTAAAATTAGACTTAAACTTAAACTGAATTAAAAATACAAGTGTTGGATTGATTTGTAGAGTAAATTATGTAAAATTAGAACCGCTTGATTTTCTTACTATAGAGAGGCAGTTCTTCTGTTCACGAATCACAGCACAACAGCCTAAGAAGCCGGTGAGCACCACGAGACTTCCTGCCAGGATCAGAATATACGCTGACACAGCAAATGTACTGGATGCCAGCAGACTCAAGTAGTCACTCTTCTTGACCACAGTCCAAACTCCCACACCCAGAACTGCAGCTCCCCCCAACTGAAAGACACAATCATTAGTCTGATATTGTTAAGCCATGAAAGAGAGAAGAGCCAAAGGCCAGGAATAAAGCAAAAAGCAGTAAAATCTGAGGTCATGTTAGGGCAGCTTAGTTTAAACAAAGTAGACAACATCCCTGGGCTGCTGTCCAAATCTTCTCATCCCTTTCATGAGCAAAGAGAAAATACCTTAAAACCCCCCTTCTTAGTTAAAAAGAAGATATTGTGTTTTGGCTGGAAATTCTGATACAAATCATAACCTATAATGCGCTGCTGTTATGTGCACACGTTTATAAGACAATTGCATAATGCAGAGCGATAGCAGAAAACCCCATTTTGTGTAATAACATGCAAGGTTGGAAAACATGACCTTCTCTGAGTTTACTTACCCAGAAGAGAAAGTTGAAGACAAAAAGCAAGTATTTGAGACACACCGTGAGCCAGTCTTCCTGGTCATCTTTATAAACCGCAGACATGTTGATTTATTCAGTGTGATTCTGAAATAGAACATGTGTCAAGAAGCTATAATTAATGTGTATTAAAAAAATCGATGAGACACTTTTCATTTGCACAGCAGGATCATATGTCACTGTCGTTAAATAGCTATGATTGTATTCTATTACACTTTGATTATTGTTGCAGTAACACAAGTTCAAAGCTATGTATAACCACACCTTCAAATGAATGCATCTGGAAAAGAGTCTGATTACAACTAGTGTGTATTGTAACTGTGTTGTAACTACGTGGCTACGTTAGGTGCAACCACAGAATAGCCTTATAGCACTAAAGCCCTATAGCACTAAAGCCCTATAGCACTAAAGCCCTATAGCACTAAAGCCCTATAGCACTAAAGCCCTATAGCACTAAAGCCCTATAGCACTAAAGCCCTATAGCACTAAAGCCCTATAGCACTAAAGCCTTATAGCACTAAAGCCCTATAGCACTAAAGCCTTATAGCACTAAAGCCTTATAGCACTAAAGCCCTATAGCACTAAAGCCCTATAGCACTAAAGCCCTATAGCACTAAAGCCCTATAGCACTAAAGCCTTATAGCACTAAAGCCTTATAGCACTAAAGCCCTATAGCACTAAAGCCCTATAGCACTAAAGCCCTATAGCACTAAAGCCCTATAGCACTAAAGCCCTATAGCACTAAAGCCCTATAGCACTAAAGCCCTATAGCACTAAAGCCCTATAGCACTAAAGCCTTATAGCACTAAAGCCTTATAGCACTAAAGCCCTATAGCACTAAAGCCTTATAGCACTAAAGCCCTATAGCACTAAAGCCTTATAGCACTAAAGCCTTATAGCACTAAAGCCCTATAGCACTAAAGCCCTATAGCACTAAAGCCCTATAGCACTAAAGCCCTATAGCACTAAAGCCCTATAGCACTAAAGCCCTATAGCACTAAAGCCCTATAGCACTAAAGCCCTATAGCACTAAAGCCCTATAGCACTAAAGCCCTATAGCACTAAAGCCCTATAGCACTAAAGCCCTATAGCACTAAAGCCCTATAGCACTAAAGCCCTATAGCACTAAAGCCCTATAGCACTAAAGCCTTATAGCACTAAAGCCCTATAGCACTAAAGCCTTATAGCACTAAAGCCTTATAGCACTAAAGCCCTATAGCACTAAAGCCCTATAGCACTAAAGCCTTATAGCACTAAAGCCTTATAGCACTAAAGCCCTATAGCACTAAAGCCCTATAGCACTAAAGCCCTATAGCACTAAAGCCCTATAGCACTAAAGCCTTATAGCACTAAAGCCTTATAGCACTAAAGCCCTATAGCACTAAAGCCTTATAGCACTAAAGCCCTATAGCACTAAAGCCTTATAGCACTAAAGCCTTATAGCACTAAAGCCTTATAGCACTAAAGCCTTATAGCACTAAAGCCCTATAGCACTAAAGCCCTATAGCACTAAAGCCTTATAGCACTAAAGCCTTATAGCACTAAAGCCCTATAGCACTAAAGCCTTATAGCACTAAAGCCTTATAGCACTAAAGCCTTATAGCACTAAAGCCTTATAGCACTAAAGCCCTATAGCACTAAAGCCTTATAGCACTAAAGCCCTATAGCACTAAAGCCTTATAGCACTAAAGCCTTATAGCACTAAAGCCCTATAGCACTAAAGCCCTATAGCACTAAAGCCTTATAGCCTCACGTTTAGAACAGGTGGAAGTGAACTACCGTCATGAAAAACTAAACCTGCCCATCTGCGCGACAGCTGCTTAGAAAGTTAAAGCAACAACATCGTCCGCTATTCCAAACTTCTCCGACAGTAAACAAATGTGATACATACGTCAAACACTGCTTAGTTTAGCCTATATCCGGAAAGTAGTCAACATACCAATTGTAATGTGTCCAGGCAAAGCTATCGCTGATTAGCCTCGCTGCACTGTCCAGCCCCTGGGTCCAGCTGCAGGTTGGTGCGGGTGCTGCCTTCACGACGACTCGGAAATTCTTTATAAAAGTTATTCCTCAGATAAATCCGGCGGTTTGGAAACGCAATGCCACATCGTTAAGAAATATCACGCCTATTTATATTTCATCTATAATCATATCAATTATAAGGATTTATATTATATTTATTATTAAGTTAGTGGCATGTTCACGCAGCGCTGTTTGAATACCACAGCCACCAAATCTTGCAATCAGTAACTCTACCCTGTACAGACAATGCAGGCTGCTTTCAGAGTCTGTATGGAATTGAGGGTTTGCGGTCAAAAAGACACAATGTGATGTTATTAGATATGGCGTATTAGGCAAGAACAAGTACCAGGCAATAAACAGCGTCAGTGAATGTCTGAAGGATGTGCCAAAGAAACATAAACTGTTTTTTTTTTAAATCCTATGGCTGGAAGGAGCTGGACCTAAAGACGGAACAAAGAGGGCGTAAAGAGTAGCACGGTCGGTGCACTTTGGGCAGTAAATGCCTCCAAACTACTTTTGTCCAAGAAGAGCCTCTCTCAAAGTCTGTGAGATAAAGGCTTACTTAAGAGTTAGTTTAATCAAGATGAATGTCACACACATGGAACAATATGTGTTCTTATCACTGTTTCTATATTGTTTTTGTATTATATTCAATTCACACACTGATTCTGAAGGCCAGTGGTCACTTTTGTGCCGAGATTCGAGAGTTTTTAACAATGTTTTACACTTCCAGGACCAACACAAGACGGAAAAACTAATCCGCACTTTATTTTCCAGGAAAGTAAATTTGTCCTTCTTCCCAATGTCACTAGATTTGTATGCACATCTGGATAACTTAACACTTGAAGCATGCTTTTTGGTGGTGAGGGAACCAAAGCACCTGAAGGATACCCACCCAGAAACAGGAATTAACATACAAATTCCACTTAGGGCTGGCATGGTACTCCTTCTCATTGTGAGGCTTGAACCCTATTTATTTTGTACTTTGTCATGAATGCATTGATCCAACCATTGTGGGTTAAATCACATGAGTTGATCCCAGAAATCCAAGCTTTGCAACACTTTGAACAATAAAGTGAAAGTAAATAATCAGTCACATTCTGAACATCTCATTAAATCACACTACAAATAACACAATGTCTTAAATATATGCTATACTTTAAAACAATACATTTCTCACACTCATATATTGAAACGTTTTTTGAGATGATGTATTATAATGACGGGGGAAATGCTATAGTCAAGATGAATAAATTGTAACGAAAGAGGGCTTTTGCTACCAAGCTTGGACATGGAGTTTCCATGGAGATAAAAGACCAAAGAGTCTATTTTACACATCCCACATTACTTGCAGGTGTACTGTCAATTGGTGTAATTTAAATCAAAATGAACACATTGGACTGTATTATTTTCACTCAGCATACTGCCAGTTTTATAGATTGCATAATAATGATGATCTATTAATAATTGCGTCCTCCCACACTCCTTTTAGCAGCCCATGTGTGAGGTGTGAGTGGATACATGCACAGCGCAGTGTTGCGTGGGCCCATGCTCTTAAGCAATTCCCAAACTCGGATAACAGGGATGACTGAAACTATAGATGAAGCACTGTGTTTGTAACTGTTGATGGGTCCCCTGGCGACTCTTGATAGGTCAAATGCAGAGGACAAATTGAAAATGAGGACAATAAAGTATGTTTAACTGACACAAGAAGCATCGAAGTATAGCCAATTCAAAGTTACTGTATCGAACTTGGTTAACAAAAAAGATAGAGGTTAAATTCACGTGATATCACAACACTCCAAAGAGCCTATTCAACTAGTGGCTAGTTGAAAAATCTGTCCTGGTAACTATGGTAACTGTCAAAAGGTAGTATATAGCTCATTTCTCTGTAGCTCTTTGGCAAATTGACAAGAAAACATACATTTTATCATAAAGGAGACGGTCGAATTTAGGGTTTCCACCATCACGCCTTGAAACAGACATTGGGACAGCTGGTGAATAGCAATGAAACAACCAAAGCTGAAGTCATAATGATGACAGATAAAGTAGAAAGAGGAGAGGATAGTTCCATGCTTCTTCCAGCAAAGTGTGTATTTCTAAGTCTGACGTGAGTTTTATCTATAGATAAAACAATCCTTTCTATCTTAGGTATACCTAAAATAGAAAGGATTGTTTTAAACCTGAAAGTAGAGACTGTGTAAGCTTCTTGACATGGATGGAGAGCTGATTCCACAGAATAGCAGCTCAGTAGCGAATTGCTACTTAGTCCGACTGGTGTTTGACACTTTAGGAACCTCCAGAAATATGGCATTTTGCAAGTGAAGGGCCCGGTTTTGATACTAACGTGTCTTGGAGGTAGGATGAAGCAATACCCTTTATGACCTTGTATGTTAAAGGATTATGAACGCAACCTATTCATGGGTTCCAGATTCTGTTGCCTGCAGCACTTTGACAAGATGTATAACATTTGTATATAATTAAAAGAGATACAATATTTTGTTAAATTGTCAATATGGAAAAGTCCTGATTTTTCCTCACACTGAATTAATACTCTGCAACATCTGTATACAGATCTACAGCTTGTACCTTACTTCATTTTCATTGGTGTACAATGTATCTTCTGTGGTGAGTTGTTTTTGCTCTTACTAGAATGTGTTATTGACATCTGACAAATACTAATGCTCCTATATTTTGTTATTCGGTGTTATAAATTACGATTATTTGTCTATTACAAAAGGGCACACAAAGTACGTATGTCATTATAAAAATTGACATACAATATCCCGTTCATATCATTGATTTGACATTCTTGGACGCTGTGTTCGGCGGTGGGCGCTTATTGGACAGAACCATGTATGCAGCATGTAGGCGCAGTGTGGTCTCTCTGCATGTGGACTCTTACATTCAGTTTGAGCTCGGCATTATGATGGATCTAAGTTATTTTTAGAGGATCTACTGATACCGATTACTTTCCCCGAAGATGTAGACGATTTGCGCGTCGGTCAGTCAGCTATTATTAATTAGGACAACTTTTCTCCCTGCAATTTTTGTGCGCTAATTTCTATTCAGCGTGTTGGGTCGAGATAGAATAGTTCCTTATTGTTGCGGCACTTTCTTGATATTTGAGCGTTGTTTCATGAATATTTGGAGCGAAACAGACAGTTAAAGACATAGAGTTTATTTCGAAATCTCGCCGGCTCTCATGGGACTGAGGCATTCGTCACGTTGTTTGCTTCTACGGCGGAAGATGGCGGAGGCGGACAGCTCAGAGGTAGGAAACTTGTGGTGCCCTGACTACGTAAGCAGAAATATATTGTTACGAATGTTTCATGCAAAGAGAGCTATGTAAATGTCTTGAATGAATGCACATTTTCGTGTATTCTTGTCGCTTGAAGGAATGATTCTGTGCAGACAATAGCAAGCCCCTTCTGCTTCTCGCACGTTAGGGGACATATGTAGATGCATATTCGTACGCTCAAAAACCAGGGCTGCTCCTGCATATGACATTGAGCTGAGATGACAACCGTGAGATCATATCTGGTGCCATAGATAAACAGTGTGAAGTGTGTGCCTTTATCATTTCTTCGCTGTCCTTGGTGCTGAAATGTAAAGCGGGTCACCTCACTTCCCCTCAGCCCCGTTAAAGCTACATGGTAATGATATGTCAAAGGTGTCTTTAAGGATGATTTACAAAGCTTCCACTTGAGATCAGAGAAAGTTTCATTGTGTTTCTCTTTGACTACTCGTGCAAAAATGTGTACGTATACGTCTGGTGATTATTGTATCATATGAATGTTGAATGGTTTACAGCATATACATTTTGGGACAATATTTGAAATATTTTGTGTGTTTATTATTTTTTTGCGCCAACAGCATGTGTCACAGGTCTCTCAGTCAGCTCAGCCCTCCTCTCTTCCCAAACCAGTGCCTAGTGGGCACTACATGCCATGTGTGCCCCATACTCCTCATCTGGCAGCTCTGACCACTTGTGCCGTCAGGGGTAAAGTTGGCAAGTTCATCAGTCCAGAGGATATGACATCGCGGGACTATTACTTTGACTCCTATGCCCACTTTGGCATTCATGAGGTACAGTAGGATTTCTAGTGTGACAAAGTGCACCTGAATCACATAATTTGATAGATGCAGCGCACTAATTGTCAATATAAAAATGAAACCGCATGAAAATATTATAATAAAGAGATCCATTTGACAGAAAAAAGAAAGTGGTGGCTGTGTCTTAACTGATACAGTCACCTTGATTCACTAAATTATATGTGCCCAATCATTTTAAACTAGTGTCCAAATATAGTAATTGGGTCAAATGTTGTCTACTTGAGATATGTCCTCATTAAAAAAGAAAAAAACTGGGAAACTAGGAGGAAGTAATTTGTGAAATGTCTCAAAGGATGTCTTTCAGGAGGCTCCCTAAGGCTTTTAGAAGAAAATAATGTCCATGACACAAATGCATGAACTGTATATTCTTACGTGTCTATAGGAAATGCTGAAGGATGAAGTGCGGACACTCACTTACAGAAACGCCATGTACCACAACAAGCACATTTTTAAAGATAAGATTGTCCTGGATGTGGGTAGCGGCACTGGGATCCTATGTATGTTTGCTGCTAATGCTGGTGCTAAACATGTCTATGGGGTAAGATACACTGCAACATAAACATCAATCAGCTAATGCATACACCTTTTTGCATTATTTAATTCTGTGTGAGAAAAGGTTAATGTTGCTCATATACAGAGGACATCTTTGGAAAAGGGCGACATGTCTGACTCATGAGCTACACGCCGTTGCATCACACTTACTGCTCTATAAAATGAAGGACCATCATTTAAAATTCACAGCTATCCCATTTTTAAATATGTTTCATATAATTGACCATTGCCTTCTTTGCAGATTGAATGTTCAAGTATATCAGAGTATTCAGAGAAGATTATTAAATCTAATCACTTACACAATGGTAAGTAATGGGAATTCCTCTCTGATTGTATGTATGTTGCTCTATGGCAGAATTAGTGAAAGAAATCTGCATATTATCATCATCACACTAGACTACATTAGTCACCGCTAAGCCTCTTTACTGGCAGCTCACCTTTAATGTCAAATAACCGTGATTCATGCCATCAATCAGAATATTCTCTAGGTGCTAGCCTGACCAGCCAGAGCCACAACATATGACAATATATCTTTTTTTAAATGTAACGTCTGAATCTCTGTCCCAGCCGCCCATTTATGGGCCGTGTTTGGTCAAATTTGATTGGACAGCTAAAGAGGAAGTGTCTTATTATTAACTCTTATTCAGGTGAAATATCGTTCAAAATCCATTTACTTCTGAAATTCAACTTATAATGTGAAACTAATATAGGGTAGTATAATATATAAAATCTTTATTTGCTATAACATTGACGATTTTCAATTTTCACAGCTGTAAAAACAAATAAAAAACAATTTCTATTCTAGTCTAGAATAGAATAGCGATTGACTGTGCACCTTAATCATAGAAATATGATTATTTATAACACACAAAGGCTACTGTATGTCTATTTGCCTGTTATGTCTATATCATAAATTGGTTTCACAATTTAAGTTGAAATACAGATTAAATAAACTTTGAACAATATTTTTTTTACATTAGTGTGCACATACAATGGGCTGTTTCTCACAGTAACTAGTGTTACTTTACTCCTATAATCTACCCCACTAGTTTTTGTGAAAAGCTTGGCTGCATCCAATTTAAGCAACAATACCTCCTTATTCATCCTTGTGCTTAAAAAGTGACCTTCGCTGAGACCACGTTTGACCAGAGACATTTAACACCATTTAAAAATTTTACTGCTGTTTTTGCTAATTCTATGCCACAAAGATAAATAAAAATACAGAAGGACAAGGAAGGAGATATTTTTTATTAATTTGGAGGCAGGGCGAGTTCAGCGTTCTGTGATTAGTGATAGCTCAAAAGATTTTCTGCATCAAGTACTAGGGAAATAAAGGGATGCTGAAATGCGAAATGTGAATCCATAGAAGAGAATGGCTAAATCCATGATGCTATGGATGACAACTTTGGTGTGTTGCAGTCATCACTATCTTTAAGGGGAAGGTGGAAGAGGTGGAACTGCCTGTCGATAAAGTGGACATAATCATCTCAGAATGGATGGGCTACTGTCTTTTCTACGAGTCTATGCTCAACACTGTGATTTTTGCCAGGGACAAGTGGTTGGTATGTATTCAAGGTGCAATAAAAAGTAATCACAATTCATTTCTATGGAATTACAATTTGTTAAAAAAACTATAGGTCATAACAGGTATCTCTAAACATGTTTAAATCTGCAGAAACCTGGTGGTGTAATGTTCCCTGACAGAGCGGCACTCTATGTTGTTGCTATTGAGGACAGGCAGTACAAGGACTACAAGATTCACTGTAAGTTATTATATCAAAGGCCTTGTTTCCTGTAAAGTTATCAAATTACAGCAGAAAATATGTTAGTGATTTTTTGCTCTCCAGGGCCTCGATTGAACCCTTGATCATAATGTGCTCTAGTTTGAACTCACATCCCTTTGAGCACTTTGAGTTGCCTTGCAGATAAACTGTGCCATACAAATAATCTTACCTCGCCTTGCCTTGCCATTATGGTCTGTGTTTCCTACTTGTTCTGGGCTGTTGCATTTCAGAGGCACCCATGAATTATGCAATAAAAAGTATGTGTATATGTATATTTGCCAGACATATCATAAAAGGCAAGTAAGGAAGTTATAAGCGTCTATTTTTTTGGTATAAAAGAAAAAAAAGATGCTGTTTTCAAGAAGGTAAAACTTGTTATGTTGGTTTTTTTTATATACAGGGTGGGAAAATGTTTATGGTTTCGACATGAGCTGTATTCGCAATGTTGCCATCAAGGAGCCACTGGTGGATGTGGTTGATCCCAAACAGATTGTAACAAACTCTTGTCTCCTCAAGGTAAGTGTAACAATTGTATTGTATGTATTATTATTTTTTGTATTTGTGTCTTTATTTTTATATCAGTATACAGTACCTGAAAGTATACAGTCTCTGGAAAATAGTTTTCCCAGTGTGTGTGAATAAACCCTGTTGGTGCCGTCTATTCCCTGCAGGATAATAGAACTGTTTTGGAACGTGTAATGGTCTGCTTCTTGGTTTCCCCACAACAATAGCTCTTATTTCATCACAGTAGATAAGAGCTTTCAGAAGAGAGATAGCTTTTTTGTTGCAACCTTTAAATCATTCTATCTATGGACCATTTCCCTTTTGCTCTTTCCAAAGCTCTGCGTCATATTCAGGTTCCAGTGTCCTATCAAACTACTCAGTCACTTCATCACTTCATATTTTCCCATATGGAAAGAGAGATCAGATGAAGCTGAGGGTGAGTGCACAGGGCAGTGAATTGTACTACAGAAATATTCTCTACATTCAAACTATTCATTTGAACTAGAATTTAATTTTGTATTGCTTCTGTCTACAGCTATAAAGCACTTTTAAAAATCAATTTGGTTTAGTTATTTGGTTTTTCTACACCAGTCTGTTATAGAAGAACCAAATTGCTCAATCTGCTCAGAAGACAAGCTGAACCTCCCAAAACGAAATATCTATAACCTTTCAAATAACCAAGAAATTTAGCTCTAGTTTGGAGTGAAGATCATGAAGTCTTTATGCTCCAATCAATTTGCTGTAATTACATTCAGTCGGGTGTGATTGTGTTGGAAAGGAGGCAGTTCCAGAGGCTGGCAAAGTTATCTTTGTGGAACACAGAAAAGTTGATCCTCATTTTACACTTGACATTTTCATAAAGCGGAATGTTCACTCTTACACACCTCACGCACACGCGTCACTCCCTTCTGTCCATGGAGCACACCCACACAACATGTGTACTGTGATCATGCTCTGCCTACACACACGTGACCTGTGGGCTTGTCATACAAGCAGAATATGTAATGATACTATATTGTTTTTCTATATGTTTCTATGTTAAAATGAAAACTATAACGACAGTAGCTCAGTTGGTAAAGCATTGGCCTTTGAGCCAGAGGGTTGTGGGTTCGAGCCCGACCTTCACCATCGACTCCCACCGTCTACTGTCGTTGTGTCCTTGGGCAAGACACAACCTCTGAGAACACCAGCCACAGTGGGGCGGCTGCGGCTGTAAAGTGCCAAACTGCCGTTGTGTCTTTAGGCAAGACACTTTACCCCCATTGCCTAGAATAAGTCTGGTGTGTGTGTGAATGGTTGGTGGTGGTCGGAGGGGCCGATGGCGCATACTGGTTGCCTCGCTTCTGTCAGTGTGCCCCAGGGCAGTTGTGGCTACAGTAGTAGTTTATCAAGTGTCTTTGAGTGTCCAGAAAAGCGCTATATAAAACCGATGCATTATTGTTATTTTAATGTGTTTCAGGAGGTAGACATTTACACTGTGAAGCTGGAAGACTTGTCTTTTACATCAGCGTTTTGTCTACAGATTCAGCGCAATGACTATGTTCATGCCCTAGTTACTTATTTCAATATTGAGTTCACCAAGTGTCACAAGAAGACAGGCTTCTCTACTGGTAAGCTCTAATATTTATGGCACAAATGTACACACACAGTACCACTATCAGTTCTTACAGGTACAGCAGCTTCTGCCAAGAACCTTTTCTGCATGTGTCAGAGAAGAGTATGGTTATTTCCTCAACAATAGTGAATAAGACTCTACTGGGATAAATAACCAACTTTAACTGCAAAACAAAACACAACCTGTTTAGCTGTCATCTGGGATTGTCATTTAGTGTAAAATTATCTTTTTTAGCGCCAGATGCCCCGAGTACTCACTGGAAGCAGACAGTATTTTACTTGGAGGACTATCTGACTGTAAAAAAGGGAGAAGAAATCTTTGGCAGTATTACAGTTAGGCCAAATGAGAAGAATGTGGTAAGGCCCATCATACTTGTACATGTATTCTTACATTTGACGCATGTGCTGTAACATTTGAATCGCTTCATTTACAGAGAGACTTAGAGTTCACCTTAGAGCTGGATTTTAAAGGTCAACTTTGTGAAGCAGCCATATCCCACGACTACAAAATGCGTTAGAAACTAATGCTGTTACTTTAAATAGCATAGAATTTAAAAGAGTATTTCCAATAAAAAACTACGGTGAAGAATCTTGAGCAATAGTCACATCTCTGCGTGACCGAAGCCCATGAGAATGTAAAATGTTCTTTTTATGCCCTTTCCGTTTCGACATTGAGTGCAATAATGTAATGGTGTAAATGTAATGGAATAGCATGGTGATGATGTCTTGATTGTATTTGAGTGTGTTCATAAAAATATTTTCTGGTCACTTGTGCCAAGATAGAAAAAAAAGCCAATGTTTCAGATTTTATGGTTGACTATTAGAAACAAAAAAACAACACATCTGTTGAAATTGTACAAATAATGATTTTTGAGTTTTTATTTATGACTTAAATAGGCAAAGATCACAAAAATGGATTAAAGCTATTCAAAACAATGTACAGTAATCATGTGTTGTGTTATTTTTCAAAAGGTAAATTATATTATAGCGTCTGTGTTGCTAAATTGTATATTTACACAATCTAAATATGAAGAGGACCAGCCTGACTGATCCATAGCGATTATTCTGTACACAAGAACATCCTGATTTCAACCCACACGACAGGATTTTTTAAAAAAATCTCTCCATGAAGATGTTTATGAATCATAAACATGTCATTCACTTGCAGCAGGCCTTCTTCTTAATGGGCTGAGCGGAGAGAACCACTGTGGTGTCTCTCACTCTGTCCTCCTGCTCCATTAGCACTCTGGTAGGTCACAGGGGAAAGGCAAAGGAAACGGTGATGCTTTTGTGAAACAGCTTTGTCGGAAAAATAATCTTCATGAAACATTTTGCAAACTCTTGACAAAAAATAGCTACCTGGCAAGATGTGTCAGAGATTCTTCCACATTCTTTCCTGTATACGCGCTGACTTCAAAAAACATCACCTTGTTTTCCTACAGGGAGAAACACTGTTGACACACAGCTCACAAAAAGTTACTTTTTGTTTCAGTTATTTAAAAAACATGTAATTACAAAAGCCAGATTCTCCGCTTCTTTGAATGACACCTCTCTTTCGCCCGCAATGTCCATTTTGTTTCCCAGCAGAAGAATAGGGATGCCTTCTCCTGCTGCTTCCTAATATATATAAGTGTGTATTATAAAGTATGCAATGACAGCAGACGTCATGTGAAATAAGGATAAGGAGATTATGAATGACATTGTCAAGTGTCCGACCTGAACATTGATGAGCCAAGGTCGAACGGCCTTAAAGCTTTCCTGCACAGTGACGTCATACAGCACCACCACTCCATCCGCCTTTCGGAAAAACTGCTTTGTAATGCTGCGGTACCTATTTGACCAATACCAAAGGCATCAATTTATGAGCAAATGCAGTTAAGCATTCCTTTATTGATGAATATTTTTCACAAACCTTTCTTGTCCTGCAGTGTCCCATAGCTGCATTGCAATCTGCATATTATCCAGGGATAATGTCTTCACACTGTAGTCGATACCTAAGACAGACACAGCAAGGATCATAAAGATGAATAGTTTATTACACTTCAGTGCAAACTGTGTGCATACTGAATATAGCATAGTCAAAAGTTGACCATGGTGACCACTAGGTAAGGTTTTATGAGGCAAAGCGAAGAAGAAAGGATGTGGAGATAATGAGGATTGGGAGAGGGTTTGCAAAAGATGAAAGTGAAATTGACCTAATCTTGAGAACAATGTGCCAAGAGTTATTAGTTAATGTGACTACACAAGCTCTTTCATGTGATGCTAAGTAACCACAAATCTTCTGCATTACATTGCACTTGTTTTTAACTTTGAATATACACACACAACACGTATTGTATGTTTCAGAGACAATGTTAAAACACAATTGTAACAAATGCCACTAAATATCCTAGATAAGGCAAGTTTATTTATATAGCACAATTCATACACAAGGCAATTCAAAGTGCTGAACAAAATAAGAAAGCATTAAAATCATAAATAATCACAGAACATTAAAAAGAAAGCTAAAAATATAAAATCCCTCAGTTGTATGCACAGCTATATGAAACACAGCATCTATTTGAGCTCAGAGTTTCCACTTCATCCTTCAGTCCCAGAAAATAAAATGAAAAACAAATTTAAGAATAGCCTTATCCGTGCTGCTATTGTTTAAATGAACAACGTTTAGGGGTTTTTAATTGGTGACCAAGACCCTTTTTAAATGTCATTGATGCCTTCAAGTTTGGAGACTACTTTGAAATGTTATCTATGTATTTATTGTGTTTTATTTATTAACATATTTTTATATATTACATGTTTTCATTATCTATTATAAGAAGTATGTGTATATGGGACCATGCTCTCTCAAACTAAGACAAATTTACCAATGGGTACAAATAAAGAAAGCTGCTCTCACCTATAGTGGCAGTGGTAGTAGGATGAAATTGTCCCTCACAGAAGGAGCGAAGAAGGGAAGTTTTGCCAACGCTGGAGTTTCCGACAAGCACCACTTTAAATAGACGGTCGGGGGGGAGCAATGTTGTTTCACTGGTTTTCTGAGAATATAGTTAAATAACATATTATACTCATCCAATTTAAATTAAATATTAAAATAGCATTCTGGCTTGCTACTACTTGTTGTGTCTCCTTCCCCACTGGCTGCCCTCTGGGTGACAAGGGGATCGTCCTGCCCCAAGTGAAGAGGGACTTTCTTGGCTGTATTATGTCTATGGGCTCAGAGCCACCTCCAGCTGGAGGTGTACTTGACAGATCTGCTGTCACACTGGAGTCCAAATCACTCTGTGCTTCCTCTGCCTCCTCTTCTTCCTCCTCACTCAGTTGGTGCAACAGTGGTTGTGGTCCTCCATGAAGCAGGTGGGGTAGGTGGTCCTCTTCTATTGAAATGACGCGGCGGAGGGGCCACCCGTCTGGGGGAGAGTCCAGGCCCAACTCATACACATGCGAGCTTCTTCCCTTTTCTGGTTTCCTTGCTTTGTCTCTGTCTTTTGGCGTCAGTCTTTTAGCGGTTGGGATTTTACTGGCAGGTTTCCTGATCTTTGATTTTGAGTCTTGTGTTGCAGATGGTGCAGGTTTGGTGGTACTGCTAGATGTGAGTGGGTTTTTCTTTGTAGCTGATCGCTGTGGGCCTGATGTAGTGGGAGATACATCACTGGGTGTTTCATCATCACTACAGGAGGAGGAAGCGACAAACACGATTTGAAGGTGCTCTAAAGGCAAGGCCTCTAGAGACTCGTAGGAGCCATTCACCATCAGTGGTACTCTTTGAAAACAGGAGAAACAGAGGATATTCTCCATTACAGGATAAACTGAAGTAAAAAGAAAATCTTAAAAAGTCTCAAAAAATGAGCCAGTGCCTAAATTTAGACTACAAGTTTTACTGTGGTTAAAATTACATGGTATATATCCTCTGTTTTTCCTTCTCACTGCATGATTTTAATTAACAGGAAGTGAGTTGTAAAATAATCACCGTCTGGTCTGTGTGACATCATCAAACAATTCAGAAAGGCCAGCTCTCTGCTTCTGCTTCTTTCTTAGCGACGACCGCGGCTGAAATAGGAAAACAAAGTTTTTGTTGTAATTGTATATACTGCTACTATATCCAAGGTAAACTTACCACACCACGACTTATATCCCGCTCATCCTTTAAATGTTTGTTCATTTCTCTACACAAGAAAAACATAGAGTAAATAAACTTGGAAAATATATATATATTTTTTAACAAATCTACCTGAGAAGATCTAGCTGTTTCATTAGACTTTGTTTTTCTCTCTGTAGACCTTCTGTGATTCTGTACATCTCCCTAAAGACAAAGACAAATGTAAAAACAGACTAATGAATATAAAAACAATGGTTGTTTTTAGATTCACCCACATTTCCTTCTCCTGGTGCAGACGAGCTGCCTGATCCTGCAGAATAGTCAGTTGCTCCTGGGCCAGTCCCAGCTCTTGACTCGTGGTGTCCAGCGCTCTAGACAGCTCCTCATTGGTCATTTTCAGCTTGATATTTTCGGTGTGGCTCTCCTGTCTCTCACAGTTAAGCTCACGACACTGAGATTCTAACTGCAGGAAAATATGCATTTGTCAATCAATATCATTACATAGGCCATTTGCATATGGTTGTAGTTTGCTTTGACAAACCCGTTTCTGTTTCTGAAAAAGCTGCTCCAGTTCCTGTTCTTTAGAGGAGAGTTGATATTCAAGGTCCTGGCTGTGATGCTGGTGGCGTCCCGAGTCCTGCAAAGGCATTCAAAAAGATTTATGACAAACACAGCACAAAACAAGAGGATTACAGCTCAGGGGAGAGAAAGTCACAAGATATTTACACTGAAGTGGTACCTTAAATATTCATATTCATATATCATATATTAAAGAAGAATATACAGTAGCAAAGCATTCCTACCTTCAGTAACAACTTGTCTTTTTCATTTTTGATTTGTGCCTCCATTTCCTCATATAAATGCCGGATCTCATTGTCATGTGTTGCAGCCTTCCTAAAGATTTTGATATAAGGCACATGTTTGGTTCATTGTTCTTTGACGGAGAGTACAACCAGTAGTAAAGTAAACATGACAGTATACAAATCACACAGTACCTACAGTATATTTTTACAACAAAAAAACAAAAACAAATGGAATTGTAAATTGTAAAATGTACTAACCATGTTCTAACCTGCAGTAATAGCTTTACATCTCCATAGTCATAGCATTAAGTGATTCCCATCCAAGCCACTGTCAAACCTCAGTGTGCCTCAAGATTAATGGTCATTTGACAGAGCTAAGGGGGTTGTACTTGTTGAAGAATTACAGGTAAATCCATTCAACTATTTGAAGGCTGAAGTTAAGCCATATACAGGAGTAAAAACATGTGTCAGGAACAGTGTTGGGAGTTGCTTTTGAATACTAGATAAAAACTAGTATAATAATCAATCATGTAAGAGCACATTTGCTTTGTTTTTCTCACGGTTTGCAAATATTTGAGGAAACAAAAATTCTCATTATTGTTGATATAACTATAAAGAGCTTTCTGTGTCCTATAGCAGAAGCATTTGAAATAAAAACTTTTGTCAAACCAATGTCATTCAAACACTAGGTCTTCTGGACTAAGAGTAACTAATAGTAGTGTACATTTTGAAAACAGTAAAACTATACTGTATTATATTGTTGTTATAATGATATTATCCCAGTAACTAGTAATCTAAATATGATTGCAATTTTAAGACACCCACTGCTGGTCAGGAATTGTACAGTGTCATTAATGCTTTCGCAATCGCTGGTAATCATGAACAATGTTGTATTAATGGTCCCTAACAGAAAATAGCAGGTTCCCCCCACCCCCCAAAAATAACACAGGTAACTTATTTGAAAATTAGTTCAATTGTATTTTGAGTATTTTATATTCTGGAAAAAACTAACAGTTATTGCCAGCCAATAATAAATAGCCTTATCACATCAACTGAAAGGCCTATAGTCTGGACGTAACCTCAGCCGATCCAGCACATTTTCTTGGATCGATAATACCAGATTTGTATTGGTGCATCCTTAATCCACAAAATAAATAAAGTTGGTGTTTCCCACATTCCATTCCAGATTCTCCCCATGTTGCAAATAAGCACTAGGATCAGTCACATGTCACTTACCTTTGAAGTGCACTTTCCATTTCCTTCTTTTCCTGGTGGGCCTCTTTGATCTGGTGAGTGACACGAGCCAAAAACTCCTCAAAGTTTGACAAGAGATGAGGCTCGTCTCGCCTGAGCTGGGCCCATAGACTGCGTACCTCATCTGGGCTGCAGGAGAGGAGTGACACGGTTACTCCTCTGGGGATGTCCGTCTAAATGTACTAAATCTGCAAATCAGGAGAATGTTCTTCAACGTGATACTCACTCCTCAAACAGATTGCTGGCCCCCAGGCTCTCCATCAGCATGCAGAAGTGTCTTTCCTCTTCATCTTCTACTCCAGCCAACTTGGCCTCCCACTGGCTTTGATACAGGGCTTCTGTAGCCCGCAGGATGGAGCTATGGAGCACACTTGGGTCGTTGGTTGTAGGTATTCGCCGACCGTGCAGGAAAAGGGCTGTGACATTTTTATCAAGAAAGATTAGTCATAGCTTTCTTTGCTTGTGTTACTAGTGTTTAATATTCTAAATTCTTTGCTATTAATACTTTAGATGCCAAAGTAGCAGAACATGTTGTCAATGACACAACATTCCAAAGACCTGAAAGTAAAGACAGCTGATTTTCTTTTTCCTGGTAACTAACGGTTAAGTGTCTAAAGTCAGACTTTTTGTCTTAGTTTGTATTTTATTTATCTGTAATCCCTGGATCCATCAATCATAAACAGCATGAAACAAAAACAGACAGAAAGTTCCATATTGCATTTTTTGTCAGTGCATATCAACTACATATCTACATATGTTCGAGAAGTTGTTTTTAAATGGTTTACTGTGTGTACAATGTGTTTTACAGTGTGTTTTAATTTGTTGACTATTGGTTTTAAATGTTTGGGTTGCATTTTGCATGAATTGTGCAATCGAAGTACATTTTGATTCATTGAGTGATAGAAGTGGGGAAAATATTCTAAAACATGCCTGATGCATGGGTTTTTCAATCTAATCTAATCACTAATCAAATTATCTATACAATAAATCTTTCCCGTGAACTTGTATTGGCAAATGCCCTTTACCTGAAATAGAATTATAGAACATTAGCTGGATCCAGGACACTTTCTAAACAGCGACCTGGTTTCCCCCATTTATCTGACATATTTTTCTTTCATGTTCTCATTAGCTTTCAAAGTCCTTTATCTCTCTCATGAAGGCTCAGGGCTCCACTTGTATTTGTTTAACAAAACATTTAAAAAAAACCTCTGGAGCCTGAGTTGAATTTCCACATTCATCCTATATATAAATAGAGAAGATAAAACAATTACTAACAGAATCCTGAAGAAAAAGCCTCCAGCGTGAGGAACCCAGAGTGTTCCATATCCAAAGAATCAAACACATCCTCCAGCTCCTGAGCTGTGAGAGGAAGCTCGCTGTGCAGCCTCTGTCAGGGAACATAACACACCGAGGAACGAGACTGTGTTTATCTTTCATGACACAGAATAATTAATAACATGTAAATATGTGCAATGAAACATGTGTATAAAATCAGATTTATTTTTATTTTTTTCTGGGAATAGAGATAAATGGTCACAAGAGTCCTGTCCTCATTACACAACAATACAGGACACTGAAGAGGTCTCTTGTGCTTTGTTCACTCCCTGCTTAACATGTGTTTAGTCGCCTTTAACACTTGAACACCTTAAGTTTCTGTTCAATGAGTCTTGCAAAACATGAATCATATGTGATGAAATGCGTTTGATAATGTTAAAATAGTTTTCTAACCCTCATATCAGTTCGAGTGATGAATCCTTTACCCTCCACATCACAGATTTGGAAAAATTCCTTGGTCTTGTCCAGAAGAGTGATGTGTCCCCAGTCTGAGCCTCTGCGGGCCGGACGTGACCCAAAACCATTGACACTTATGTCCTCCTCCATTCCTGAGCTATATGTCTTAAAAAATAGTTTAAAAAATCAGAAGGTGGGCAGAGCAAACATCCTTCTTCCAACAGCAGTGTCCATTTCACATCTTCATAATTGGAGAAAATAATGATAATAACACTGGATTGTGGTGGACAGAAAAATGGGCTTCAAGTACCTGAAAAACAAACACAAATCACATTTTATAGTAACACAAGAATCGTGTTTTTCTGTTATCTTTTTCAGGTTGTGATGCTGAGACTTTCAAGCTACAAATCTCTGCATTGCTAAACTTCCTATACTAAAGCTCAAACACAATGGCATGTAAACACAGGGCTGAGGATTATCCTAATTCCAATCCATACTGAACACATGACAGCGGCAATGCCTGCCGGACCGTGGGAGCCAATCCAAGAGGATAAAAGTGTATTAATTTATTGCTCTAGTTTGTTGTGGCTTGTTGACATCACTTTAGCTGCTCAACCAAAACACAGGCCAATTTTTGACAAACCTGTTTTTAAAAAGTCCTGTCAGCGCACTTTATGTTTTCAAAGAGGATAAATACTACAATAATGAAGTATATAAACAGCATTTAAAAGGTGATAATAAGAATACAAAAAGTTCATACCTTAAGAGAAGAATATTATGCCTTCCTGTGCAGCCAGAGGAAGCACATTTCTCAAGTTCTTGGCTTGTGAGGTTTTGCTGCATAAACGAATGTTGAAAAGTCACTCTCTGACCATGTGATGTCAGGAGGAAGGAGCCCAGGGCGTTCCAGCCTCCGTCCAGACGGTGCTCCTGATGTGAAGGGGGCTGCAAAACCAGCTCTTAAAGGCCACTCAAGGCCAAAGGAGGTTGATCAGAGCAAATGGTGTGAAATTAGAAAACCAAATAATTACGCTCTCATTTCAAGCCAATTTGGGGGAAAAAAAGCAAAACTAACAGTGTTAAGACTGCTCACAACCACTCAGTGACTAACAATACTGGTCTACCGCACGAATGGCAAGAGATTGATGGCATAGATTGCATAACAGATGGAAGTAGAAATACATTTTTAATTTAGGATTAAATAACAAACGAGGCCAATCGACATACCAGTTAAACAAATGCTAGATATCGCTAAATGATTATACGGATGAAACTTTATACATTTTATTGAAGTTAGGCGTGAATGAATCTCCCACCTTTCGAACAGAATACTATTGTTGACATTGCATTTAAAAATACACTTTCCCATCAAACATAAATGTACATAAGAGAGGATGATAATGACTAAAATATTTATCCAGAAAATCTACAAATTGTTTCTGGTTTGAGATTTAAGATTAGACTGAAAGATTCCCATTAAATCAAAACCACAAAAACGCAGACAGTATTGGAAACACTCTTAGCATGCTCTATTTTCAGTAGTTTGTTCAAATAATAATGATACTCTATCTTCAAATTATACCACATCAATTCAATAAATGTTTATCACCACTTCAGTATCAGAAATTTGGAAAATCATAACTTAATATTTTTTCACAATTAAAACAACCTCTCACCCAATAATGCAAACTACAACAATTTTGATGACAGCACTCTGAGAAAGCACAAAGCACTAAAATGATTGCAGCACTTGTATCTGATTGGAGTGCACTTTGAAAACATATTTACTCAGCTAAAATAGGATGTTTCATATTATTGTGCAGAGACTTTTTACAGACTAATTTATTTTATAAAACCAAACCAATATGCAAGATGGTGGCATGTAATACGTAGTTAATTTTAAGACAAATCTAGTTTTTTGGGCTTTCAATATGATTTAATTACAAAAGTAGTTAAAATAAGACAAAATTCCAGTTTGCTGAATCAGGATATACAAAATGTCAAAATATGTTAGTCCGTCATTTGTCAGTGCTTTGAATTTTCTGCAATAAATATTCCATCTGGAGGTTAAGATTGGGCTGTCCTTTCTTTGTCTTTTTGGAGAGCATCTGATATGTCTCCATCTTTTTCTGTTTGTACTTCTGAATAGCTTCCTCTCGCTGATGTTTGTTCTTTAGGAACTCCTGCAGAGAATAAATACATTACATGCATCAGTAAAAAAGCAAAGGTAAGCTTAAACTTGACCAAGGATTCAGTTCCTCACCTCCTGTTTCCTTTTCCGATTGTCTTGGATTCTTTCAAACTCTTCTTGTGTTTTCTGATATGATGTTTTCTTGAGCATTTTCTTTCTCATCCTGTTGCTCACCGGGAGGCTGTATGTAAAAAATAAAAAAGACATTTAGTTTACAACCACAAAACAAACTGCTCTTCTTATTGAAGATGTTGACTTGCCTTGGCTGCGTGTCCTCTTCCCTGGGCTCAGGTTGGACTGTGTCAGGCGTAGGTTTGGCTTCCTCAGATGTACTTGGGATTTCTTCATTTACAATCGCTGTATCAACTTCACACGGGTTTTCCATTTTGTCTTTCATTCTCAGTTTGCTCCTGTTCATTCTGTTTGTCCAAGCCTCCTGTTTGAGTTTCTCTTTCTCGGCTAAATAAAGATGCTTGAGATGCTCTGGATACTCGTCTTTATACATATTTGTAGACACCGCATTTTTCTTCTTCTCTTTCCGCAGCAGCTTAACGTACTCATACTTGGCTTTCTGCTTCCTCCTAAAAGCGAATCCTTGACCTAGAACACGTATATAAGATCATTAAATCACAATAAATCATATAAGACCATTTTAAAATAACGAAATATGTTACCTTCTCCGACGCTGCCCTCAAACTGTTTGTTTTGTGGGACCCATTTCTTCTTGGATTTGGCACCATTTGTTGGTTTGCCTCCCTTTTTGTCGTATATCTTTGGTTTCATTCTCAAACTTTCGGCAGAATGTTGAAACACACGAGGGAAAAGCTAAATGTTTACTATCCGTACCGAGGCGAACCGGGACGCATGCTGATGACGCAGAACAGACATTAGCAGCTGAACTTTGATAAAACGTCGAACCTTTCTTTAGAAATATTATAGTTTACTTTACTTTTACGAATACTTTATTCAATGAGAATACGTAAACTCAAAGTTTTGGGATTTGAGTGCATTATTATATTTAAAATCATGCGAACAAGCAATTTTTCATTTTCTACTGCTTGCGCCTAGAACAATCTAGGAGGAGTACACCGTTTGCAAGTCTCACACAAGACTTCTTTCAAAAATACTTTTCAATCATGATACCCGCTACATCCACTCTAAGCGACGTTCAACAAAAGATAGATGAAGTAACACGGTTTCTGAGAGTAGCATTGAGGATCGCTAACGCTCACACTGTGGAGTTTTACACCCACGATGTGTGGAATCACTTCATGGCGGTGGCACCAGAGGAGGTGCTGGCAGCTGTCAGTGCACACGGCGTCCACCAGGGGGAGCACCGAGGCCAGGAAAATGGTAAATATAGTCCAAATAACCAGTGTTGGATGTTACTCGAAGCTTGTAATATATTTATATTACTTGTTGCAGGAATAACAATGTGATATATTTTTACAATATTACCGTCTTTATGAGGTAGCTAACTGTGTTACACAACTTTGAGTTCCGCTTGATCCAGAACTGGACTTTAAAAGGTTATAACTCAAAAACTATATGTACTATCATAGATTGGAGAAAATATTTCAAACACAGACATATCAAAGAGATATTGTGGATAAAATCAAAAGAAAAGAAATTACAAATATATTTTCGGCAACATTTTAAAAGATCAACCAATTGTGACGGCAGTTAAATAGAAAATAAAAGGTAGTCAGTGTGAAAAAGCGGCAGATGAACTCCTGCAAGATTAACATGGCTAGCACAAAATTATGTAAATCACTTAATTAAAAAAAGAAAGAAAAAAAAAGCCCTTTTCTACAAAGCAATGTTACTTGTGTTGTAATGATATCATACATTTTTACTTTTGTAATGAGTTACAGTTCTGACTGAGTTACTTTACTTTATTTGTGCAATGTTCAATGAGAAAAATTACAGTATAATTTGTCTATTGTGTCTGCTGTTTTTTTAAATGAACCAATGAAACTTATACAAATATTGTGTATTTTGATTGTAGAGGTATTTCAAGCAACATTTGGATTTTGCCCAAAATCCCACCATGTATTGAATATCTTTGAATTGCTGAAAGCTGCCAAGATGCATTCTCTCCCTGGTCTTGGCATCTGTCTCAGCAAAGAAGAGCAGAGACTTTGCATTCAACAAATCTGCTCAAATTCATATTCTTCAACAGGAAGTACAGGTGAGAGAAATAAACCCAAATGAGTAGGAAGCATCAGTCTTGAATACTCATTCATACAGTCTGCTTCTGCTATGCCATAGATGCTACGCTTCAAACAGACGAATTTATGAATTCCAAGAAGTCCCATGAAGTCCTATGTATGTCTGAGGTTGTTGCCTTTTTGGCCCAGGGATGTCAAGTCAAGCAGGTAACCCAGAAATACTGGATGACTGATTATTCTAATTATCATCAAATTATGATTCTTCCCTCCCTTAGATTATAGACGTTGGTTCAGGGAAGGGCTATTTAAGCTCTTTTCTGTCCATGCAGTATGGCCTTCAGGTGTATGGCATTGACTCATCCAGTACCAACACACACGGAGCCCAGGAGAGAGACCGAAAGCTCAAAAAGTTCTCCAAGACTTTTCAGCAACACAGTAAAGCAAACAGAAAGAAACCCACTACACACGAAGAAAAGCCACCTGACTCTTCAAAAGACATAGATCATAAAACCCAAGTAGAAGAGACATCATCACTGTTGACACCAGGGGAGCATTTGTCTACTGATGCAGAGGAGCATTTGGAGATGGAGCAAACAAATCAAGAATCTGCAGAGAACTTTTTTTTAAATGCTTTGTCTTTAGATGTGATTGAGGCAGCATCATTAAGAGTCCCTCCAAGACAACTGACCAATGAGGAGCGAGAGCGGAGGAAGAGGGAGAATTTGGAACGAAAAGCTCAAAATGAAAGCATAAGTAATGGACCCTTGTTTTCACCCATTACATCTTATGTCACTGCTGAAACAGAACTACGAGAGTTAATCGGTGAACTACAGGTGAGCGAAACAAAAGTGTGAAATAATCTAAGCGTTTCTAAGTTTACATCTCTATCTGTCCAGGCTGCGGTCCTCGTAGGCTTGCATACCTGTGGGGACTTGGCTCCCAGCTCCCTGAGGATGTTTGTAGCTAAAACTGAGCTAAGTGCAGTCTGCAGTGTGGGCTGCTGTTATCACCTACTGTCAGAAGAGTTTGACCCAACCGCACAGGGTAACTGCACGTGCATATGGCATAGTAAGGGTGGGGAAATGTCACAGTTGCACCGCACATTACAAAACAGTAGGACTAAGATTTGTGACAACCTTTTTAAAGAATAGAATTGATAGTTTAGAGAACTTTTTACTAGAATTTTTTGTATTCGTCTCATTTGTTTCCCTCTTTACGATATTAATAGTTGTAATTGGTTTGTTGTGAATGTTTTGTCTCGTTTCACATACACTGCAAAAGCACATAAATCTCACATTTTAAACAAAAAAACCTGGGAACATTCAGCTCACTTGTTTTCATGCATCACACTTTCTACTGCACTTCTTGAAAACCATTAGCATGTGCTTGTGCCATGAAAATTAGATTCTTGCTGAATAATTTAGTAGTTAATTAAGGTTGTATTATATATCATAAAAGTGATTACAGAAAATTGGGTCTTTTTATGTCTTTGTCTTTTCGCCCTTAGAGGCACCAGAAAGGTTAAATGGATTTCCTTTGAGCCAGTACCTTCGTGACCAGTCCTGGTTTTGTGGAAGAAATGCCAGGATGTCTGCGTGCTTGGTGAGGCTAACTATGTCTTCCAAAGCAATCCCAGCCTGTAAATGTCACACTGTTAAAACTGTTTATTGGATCCTTTTCTGGTAATGGTTAAGCCACTACCAAAGTTATCTTTTATAAATAGAAAACATGGTAAATTACAGAGTATTTTATTGTCTCTGCAGAGTCTTCCCGACAGAACATTTTCTTTTTCCTCTTTTTGAAAACGTGAACATTGAACATTGTAAAGGGCTTTGGGTGACCTTGGTCTGTAAAAAATTAGCTATATAAATACTTACTTATTTACTTTTTTTACAGGCACTTGAACGATTTTCTCATGGCCAAGGGGTGAGTTAGTTGTTGTCGTTCTTAATGTTAGTTGTCACTAACAAACACCAAACATTTTGACATTTATACATTTATACGTTTATGCTACTTTCGTAACAAAAAATATATGAGATTGGATGTTTATAAATAATTAAGTCACTCATTCCACCTTACTGGTTGTTTTGAGGTTAACTGGATTTTTAGTCTTGAAACGTCTTTTGTTTATGAATAATATAATAAAAATAGTCTAATGAACTGTCTGTTTTTGTTCAGATTCAGATGGAGTCTTTATTTTATCGTGCTGTACTGCATGTTATACTCCGGGACCACTTTGGATCATTCAAAAGGTACTTACTGTTGTGCTACAGACAAAAGAACGATACACATTGAACAACAAAGTTCACTATTCCGCTTTTCTGGTAGATGGTTCAACACCTGCCATTGGCCATACACTGATGAACACATGATGGCTTAAATTGCTCTGATTCACATGGTGCACTGCAGCCTGTTTAACTCGTAGCTTCAGGCGGCACAACAGAGAAAGTATCACTTGTCATACTTCAAACACTTTTCCATGCAGCAGGGTTTATTACCCAAATTCATTCTACAGTTGAAACCTGAAGTTACATACATTGTGTCAAAAGATACAATCTTTTTACTGCAAGTTAAAACAAAAGATTTTCCCCTGCTCAAAAACCTCAATTCTTATAGTGCGCAGATACTCCTCCTACACATATGTTACTTAACCAATGTAGATTGATGCATTTAATGATATTGTGTAACATTCCAGGGGAAATGCCCCAGAGAATGTTGTTCATCTTGAATATCATAAAGATGCTGAACAACCATAAAGTTGTTTCTTTTTTGAACCAATAAAGTCACACAAGGAGTGTGTGTCACTGGGGGGAGTTGGTAACTGGGTGACGGCACCAGTGCAGAGATAAATGACAGTGGGTTTATGTGTTTGTTTCATCCTCAGTGAAAAACGAGTGGGTAATGTTTACTCCAAGACTAAATCTTTTGTGGACTACGTGAGGAGAGCTTTGCAAAGACTTGATCTGGATGAGACAAAACTTTCTGATGGTGATATTCAGGGTTACCATGACAAATACAGGCTGCGGATGAATGAGCTTGACGCTTTCAGCAAGGTTAGTATGTGCAGCTTTGACCGGGATAAATGTCTCTTCTATATTAATCATGTTTTCTTTAGTTAAAAGTTATTCTGGCGCCGTGCGTGGAAGGATTGATCCTTCTTGATCGTCTGTGCTACCTCAAAGAACAGGTATGCACTGTACACATTTTAATATTATATGGACATAACAATGAAATAACCCCAACTAAATGCTGTCTGAGCTATTGTGGGCCTAAATAATTTGAGCTCAAAACAAAAGTCCTACAAAGAGAACTACATTCAGTCAATAGATTATTTTGATTTAGAAAACAAAGAACAAATTACTCAAGAAAAATCCTAGTTTGTGACTGCCTGTTACTTGCAATTCTGATTTACAAAAGTCAATCCACTATACTTTTTCTATTATTTGTTAGAGCTTTGTAAGAGGGAACCAGTTAAATGCAGGTATGTTAGCTACATTGATGCAGCTAACACATACAATACCTACATCTCGTTTCTTCTCATGATAATCGCCCACTCTGCTTGTCCTCTCTGCTTCTCCAAATGGTGCATGTTCTGGGTGATGAGGTAAACCAGAGCACCCGGAGGAAACCCAGTCACACACAGGAAGAAACATGCAAACTCCACTCAGAAAGGCCTGGGCTGACACGGGAAGCTTTAGCACCACCAACACAGTTCCAAACCTTAATGTTATCGCTTCTCCTGTACCTTACGGGGGATTCTATAGTGCAAATCCTTCTTGAATTCGACTTTGATCAAATGGATTTAAGATGCTACATCCTACCTTTATAGATTAGTATGTGAATTGACAAGAATGTGGCTTCTATAGTTTAGCCTGACAGCAGTACACCTGGCACAGTATTTTTACAGATGTTCAGTCTCTGGAGAACATATCTAAAGCTTTGTAAAAGTTTCAAAGAGCTACAGCACGTTTAATTGTGTGTGTATTTTGGCATTCTTTAGGAAAATATATCGTTCTCTGCATTGGTTCAGCTCTTTGATCCTCTTCTTTCACCGAGATGCTACGCTGTCATCGGACTCAAAAGGAATTGATGAAGCAGCTGTAATCTACCGGACTGACTTTATATACAATAAGGCATTTTTGTGTCCATCCTTACCAGTTCAAACGCATGCAAAAGTCTTATTCTAGCTCACACGATTCAAGTATATCTCAGTTCTTTGTGTTTGTGTTGTTTTAGAGCTGTACTGGGAGGTTGGGCACTAGGGGTTTAGACTGTCTGGAAACACTGTTTAAGAAGGGCCATTGATTGTCTCCTGTATATTAAGAGAGACCAATTTCTTCCTGGAAACAATTTTGAAATGTAAGATATTTCTTCATTGACTGATATTTCTTGTGAAACTTTTTTGCTTCTGACAATATCTTCTACATAACTTTCTACTTTTCAAATCTCTCAAAGAATCTAATGGAAATCGTTTCACATTCCTCAACTCCCCTGCTACACCTGCAGTTCTCCATTGTATGTATCTAATTTCAATGTTTTGGTAAAATATGTTTAAGATTAAGAGATCCTTTATTCGTCCCACGGCAGGGAAATTTCAGCGTTGCATCACAAGTGACAGAACAGTAGGAATGAGGAGGACAATTCAAAATGTCTAACTCTAGCATCAAAGAAACAAGTATAAAATCTGTCTTGACCATAATAAAGAAGTATCAAAACACACACATGTATATACGTTTCTTTTTAATAACATGTTTTAGATTGTATGTGTGCGGCGTTAGCATAGATTCATATTCAGACTGCTTTATTCATACCACCAGGGCCAGTTCAATTGTGCACCATGAGTGAGTCATTTATAGCACTGATATTGCACCAACAGGAGAATGGGAAATAGTTTTGTGGCTGAGGCTCAAGAACAGAAATAGCTGCAATTAAGCATCCTCTTCCAAGCTGTTGTCACATTTGGAGCAGGACATAAGTGAACGGATGCATTTCCTTAAGGATCAGTGCTTCTTGTAACAGGAAAAGGAAAGGATGTTTGGGTTGCCAACACCTTTTGTTTTACTGTTGTGGCTGGTAAACAGTTTTTTGAAGTGTGTGGAGAGCAGACATCCATATCCAAGTCTGAAAGTGGGTAAATCAATTACATAAAAAAAGGTTTCCAGCAGTGTTGTGAAAACCCTTCAGCTGTTATTATCCAATAGCTGATATCTGATATGTGTGAAGGCCCACACATTCTAACTAAATGTTAGATAAAGTTTCACTTTTGAAATACAATGTTTTTACAAACTGCAAAAACTATGATTTGAAATGTTCATCTTGTCTTGAATTGCCAATGAGGATTCTTTTTGTAAATACCATAATACACAAAGATAAAAAAACAAAACCGCCTTTTTGCATGCATTTTTATTCTATGTTACTGTGTGTATATACTGTATATATGAGCATGAACGATAATAATAATGGGGCATGAGCACACCGCGGCTGGGCTGCACAGCATTATCATTGACAAATAACAATTGCATTTTCTTTACCAGACAGATATAGCTCACAAGAAATTAGCTGATATTTGCCATATGCCATTAATTGAAATGCATGATTTAAATTATGTTTGACTACAGTGTCCAATTTGTCACACACCTTCCAACAGATTTGAGGTCATGGTCCAGCTTTGTACAGTGAATCTGTAACCTATAGCACGGTGCTTTGCCACTGTCTTGATGGCACTTATGCCGCCCTGAGTTAACATACGTCCCCCTGGCCATCTGCTCGTGTGTCCGCACTATAAGCTCTGGCTGTGAGGCACACTTCAGTCCAGCTGGTGGAAGGCCAGCAAGGATTCATGTAAATGTAACTGGAAGACACATGGTTTAGAGGTGTGTTTTCGTGTTCAATGATTTTACACAAAATCCTAGAATGTGCACACACATGCATGTAAAGAGATAGACGTCCACACACTGCACTTGACAGTTCATTATCAACCACAGTCTGAGGTATTAGAAAGCTGTCCAAACATTATTTTTCTGCAAGATATCTGAAAATAAAAGAAAGAATGCTTGTCAAGCTTGAATTCTTGAGCAGAGCAGCTGTTACAAAGTAGATTAAATATAAGCTGGCGAGGGCCTGGCAGTTGTTTGTGCATCTCATGTTACTGTATGACCCATGTTGGTCACCTGAGAAATCTGTGGTCCAAACCAAGAGTTCAAAGCCATGACAGGAGATTGTTATTGTACACGCAACCACAGTGAAGATATGCAAGAACACATTTCCACGACACGCAGCCTCCAGGATACAGCATATTTATGACGTACACTCAAGACAGGTTGTGAAGGTTTCATAAAGGTCATTCATATCATAGGAGCATATTGCTATGCTCACATTGCCTAACAGTATTATTACTATGTATTATGTATTGGACTCTCTCTTAACAGTGTAATGGATATATAACATTTTTCTCATGCTTGGAAAGATTATAGACAATATCTGAAATAATATCAAAATTGTCTTTTATAACTGATTTCCTGTGGCTCAGAGAATAGACTTCAAAGCAGTTCTGCTTGTGTATAAGTCTACACATGGCCTCGCACCAAAGTACATGCGATAAATGTTGACAACTGTTTGATTCTCTGATCTGTGTTGGTGAATTCAACGGGATTGTAAAGTCCCCTGAGATTGTGATTTAGAGCTGTACAAGAATAAACAGTTCAGAGCTATACAAGAATAAACAGTGGCCTCAAAATGGTTCTCAGAGTCAAAACTAAACATGGGGAGGCAGCATTTCAGATTTATGCAGCTAAAATCTTCCAGTCTTCCTGAAAATGTGAGACAGACTTGACCATATTCAAATCCAGGTTAAAACAGTTCTGTTGAGCTTTACAAACAACTGAGGGATTTTATCTTTTTAACTTGTACTTGTACTTGTACATTGATTATTTATGATTTTAGTGTTATTGTTTCTGTCTTGTTTTGTTAAGCACTTTGAATTGCCTTGCCTTGCTCCATACATTTCTGTCACTTTCCTTTTGCATGTCACTGCGCATGCGTGTCCGTCCTGAACCACATGCTCTCTTCTGTGATGCTCACACGGAGGACGCGGCGGAGATGCCCACTCTCCTTGTCCTCCTGCCCTGGTATCTGTGCCTTTTGCAGCCTGTAGAATATTCTCCGTGAGACCATGGGTTAGAGAAAAGATGGGAAACTTTGGCACACTTTGTCTGTCTCGGGAAATGTCTGCGCTCCGGTGGAGAGGCGTGCGGCCGTGCGGGTGAACAGAAGAAGCAGAGTTTGACCATCTTTGCGGCTGATTTGTGTGTGTGATTGTGTGTCTGTGTGTGTATGTGTGTGTGTGTGTGTGTTTGTGTCGCTTTGCCCGGACACTGGAGACATGTACCCGGAGCTGCTGTGCTCGGCTGTGGCTGTGGGTCTCTACGCAAACACGCTGGATGGGGATTTCTGCTACGATGACAGGTAGGCTGAACCACAGAGCCTCATCCGGGATGGATCTGGTCTCTGCTCTATCTCTATGGCTTTTGTCTGAGGACTGAATCACATCTGTATTCTGAGAAGCAAACTTTTGGATAGCGTCAGATAATTACAAACTAGTTTCAAGGCCAACAAAAGTGACCAAGTGGACTGGAAACATGCTGGGTTCGCGTTGATTTGTTTTTGAGTCTATTTTTAGAATTCTACACGAGTGTAATTGTATTGTAAATATAATCTGTACAACATACATTTATATATTATTAATTTGTTGTGTTGTAGTCTGTTAAAGTCAAAGATGTATCTAAACATATGTGAAAATGTATTGGCTGCATATTTGAAACTAACCCAGTTTATTATATGAACAACCTAATTTTAAAAACTCTAACCTATTGTATTTCCTTATATCCTATAATTTCTCATTTCCAGTTATAATCTAAATATAATCAAGTGGTGTATCACAAATAGCATCCCTATCTCTTTGAAAGGTTCTCACAAAGGCAGACCTATATTGTTCAAAGGACTACACAAATGGAGCTCACGTCCAACATTGCATTGCATTACACCAGCCACCGAGAACAGCCCACCTCCCATACTCATCCATCACCTTTGTCTGTAGGTTTGACCATGACGCTGTGAGGCTGTCAGGATGAGCACTGCTTGAATGTTAGTGATAGATTATACACCGTGGCTCATCGTACACGCTCCTCTCGTATCTGCCCAAGTTCAGCCTCCACCAACTGTGTGCCGAATCTGTCACAGTCACAACCATCGTTTACACTCCAGGGAATGAGAGAAAAAGGAGATACCAATCACAGGTTTGGCCTTGCTGGACACTTATCAAACATTGTCATGAATCACAGTCTCTTGAGTATTTCTGTGGTGGTCCCAAGACTAAAGCAATATCATCGCTCAAAACATTTATCATTTTCCAGTTTGGTGCACTGAAGTTGTTGAGCCCAAGGAGCTTCTTATCTGACATTTGACCCTGTAATCTAGTTACATGTCACATGTTGGGTAGATGGGATGGCAAAGTAGATATTTTTTTCAAAGGGCTATTCTGGTTAGGGTCTGATTGGTCAATTTTTTTGTAGTAGTAATCTTTATTTATATACCGCCTTGTCACTGCAGATCTGAGTCTCAAAGCGGTTTACAATTGTTAATTATGGGCATTTGTCTCTCACTCCACACAGAGATGGGAGCGGGGTCGCCAGTACAGGAGGCACATGCCAGACATGTCTATTGGACATATTTTTAGTGGTAGGGGAAATCGGAGTACCCGGAGGAAACCTACACAGACACTGGGAGAACATGCAAACTCCACTCAGAAAGGCCCTGGTCCGACCGGGATTCGAACCCAGGACCTTCTTGCTGAGAGGCGAGAGTGCTACCCAAGCAGCCACCGTGCCGTAGGTTTTTTTTTGCATTCTTGAATGGGCTTTGTAATTTCTATGCTCGCCAGTTTGAGATTGATTATTTACTGCCGTTTGAGTCTCCTCATTTACAATTATTTTCCAAATTCCCTGTCGTCCAGTCAAGCCCTGCTTGTGCTTATCCGCCTTGCTTCCTGGTTGGATGATATTACTTGAAGTTTAACTGATTTAACTATTCTATAACTATTTAACTGTAGTGCAGGTCCAAGTGGCAGGTAGTCAAAAATATGCATTCCTTTAAAATAATTAATTAATTTCTATCAATTTATTGACAACACCATTATAATATAAACATATTGCCAATCTACAATAATTTTTATACCAGAAATTGTTGATTTCTCATCTACTCTATTGACCCAGCAATAAACACCTTGGTGAGCTCGACGGCGAGCTTGACAGCTTTCACAGTGGCCGCAGGAGCACGCTCAAACAGAATGTATCCTGTAGCTTTCAGCGCTCTGACTCATGCGTTCTAACATCTGTGACCCCCATCACGTCACACTCCCCTCCACAAGAACCACAGATGAATAATGATCCCGGTGGGAATTACTACAAAAACATCTCCCCTTTTGTCTCAGAGCGTGTTTCAGTCTGTGGCTAAAGTGCTTGTCTTCTGCTGTGAGGTTGGGCTTTCACTTACCGTGGCATTCCGTTTCATGAGCAAAGACGCAGATTCTGTCAACAATATGAAAACTTAAGAATTGAATCTGTTTCTCAGTTGCTTTTATTTGTAAGTGAAATGAAGCAAACAAGTCTCGATCCAACATTTATTTTTATAAATTCTCATATTAGATAATAACAATGAAGTTTCATGACAATGATCGACATATGTTATACCCTTTGGTTTATTTAAAGCTGGATTACCTGACTTTGAAACAACAAAAAATAAATATGTAATGTAATACTGTTATTATGTTCATGTAACCAGTTCCATGTTCTCAAAGCTAACAGTTGTAGAAGATAGAACTATTGTTCATTATTAATATATCAAATACTATCTCTAGTCTGCATATGCCTACATGTTTTGTTTACATCAGCATTTTCAGTGAAAAAGAAATTACCAGCCCTCACTCATCTTTTACTGTTGGGAAAAAGCCAATGTGTTGATGAAACAGAATAGGTCTACCCCAGCTTTAAATCATTTCTCCAGTAAATTGTTTAAAGTATACTTTATTGCAAATAAACCTCATTGATAATTTTCCTTTTTTCCATTAGCATTTTAGGATTTGGTATAATGTGTGCACCCAATGCCAAGATGAAACTAAAACATCTTATATCTAATCTGTTACATGTGTGTTCCTTATGCCTTTTAGTGCTTTGAGACCCTTTGTAACTTCAGCACATACACTACAATGGCTTAATAGCAGTGTCATTGGTGTAGGCAATCTTTTGTGGTTTTGTATTACACTTAGTAGCTGGCTTTAACTTCCCATCTTTAAACTGAGGTGCACTTTATGTATGGCTTAGAGCAGTTGCTTGCGAAATATAAAACCAAAACCAATCTGGGGATCACAGCAATAAGCAGTCGCACTTGTCTAGCTTTTGTAATCAATAGCGTTTGAATCTCAACTTTCAGCGTGTGTGGATTTTCTGTCAGAGCAGCTGTCAGAAGAGAAAATTAAATGAGTGTGAAGTGGTTGGATTTCAGTGTAGGCAGCACTGTTGTGACTTTGAAAAACAATCCTCTGTAGAGTTTGACCGGTCACTTCCTCTGCAGCAGGAGAAGTTCTCTGAAGCGCTGACAGCTTTTCTCTAGTGACGTGGAGGGTGATAATCAAATGGTTTAGTTGATGGAAAAGGCTTGACTTTCTCGTTGCTGGTCTATGCCATTTGTGAACTTTTGCTTTTGTAAATCTGACAGTGATGCTCTGAAATCGAATTAGCAGACGTTATAAATACAACATTCTAGATTTTTTGTTTCTAAAATGTAAGTGATTGTCTGGAGTTTGTCAGAAAAAAGAGAGATGTACATGATTTGAAAAAATAACGACCCAAGCTCCCTCCCCCTTTCTTTCTGATTGGTCTACGCCTACGTTTTCGTAACAATCAATCAACACGTTTAAATGTTAATTGAAGAACGCATTATAAATTATTTATACACATGCACGGAGGTTATCAGAATTATCAGTTAATGTTTTCATGACAAAAATAATGTTTTAATGCACAAAAAAAGCGATCGCGGTAAACCCGGAAATAGCTATTATCATGAATTTAACATTATAGGCCACTTCTGCAGAGGATCTGATTATGGATATAGGTTCAGTATATAAATGGGTCACTCAGCGCAGATGTTCAGAATTCTTTGTTCAGTTTTCATGTAGTTTCAGAGCCTAATGGAGGCTTGAATGGCAGGCTCTGTGAAAACAAACAGCTACGAGCATGAGCGCCGATGATTGACAGCCCTTGGCATAGGGCTGGACAATAAATCAAATTTAGGCAATTAATCGGCTTTTGAAAAAATCAAATTTGAGAAAAATGTGAAATTGAATGACGGCTATTATGAGAGCAACACATGAATTATACTTTCAATATCAGCACAGTCTGTACAACACTTTTTTATTGCGTATTGGGGGAAACTAAAAATAGTTTTGAAACTTGAATATTGAGTGGAAAGATCAACAAATATTTTTAAGGGCAAAGTTTGTCTTTGGTGACTTTAATGAAAATCGATTTAAAATAGAAATCGTCCAAAGCAGGAAATAAAATCGAGATTTTTATTTTTTGCCATATCGCCCAGCCCTACCTTGGCATCACTTGACTGGTTAAAGTGAACGGCATCGTGGATTCTGAGCAATAGCTAAGAGAAAGGAAGGCGGGACTTACCCGTATTATTAGAATTCATAAAGTGACTTATTTTAAATCAACATTTAAGCCCAGGAGGTCAATTAAAATTCTTAAAACTGAGTAATTCATTTAGATTTCCAGACTATCACTTTAATCTTATTAGAAAACATTTGATATTTTGCATACATGTAAGAGAAGTGTGCCACTATTTAACTATTGGCTGATTGACTGCGTGAGGGTGGGTTTTGCTTTTTCACTTTTCTGTCAGAAAAAGCTGTTATAACAATATATCCATCCATTTCCCCTTAATCCATTTCTGGGTCGGGGAGGTGGCAGTCAGAGCTGCACCCAGTACACAGAGCACCAGCCCCTCACTGATCCTCCTGCAGGTGGTGAGTCCACAGGAGCCTTGATCTTTCAGCGAGGGCTTTGGGCTAAGTGGGGTTAAGTGTCTTGCCCAAGGACACAACGACAGTCATCAGTGGGAGTTGTTCTCGTGGTGGATTCGAACCCACGACCTTCAGCCCCAAAGGCCGATGCTCTTCCAACTGAGCCACTGTCACCCCCAGATATAACAATATAGAGAGGCCAAAAAATACATGCAGGAAAACTGATAGAACCAAACTGTTTTGAATTAGGAACTAGTCAAATGGATTTTATTACATATTTCCACTTGCTCTTTGAAAGTTATGTGCCCCAGCTTTAATTTTTTTCAAGAATGTTTTTTAGATAGTTCTGTGTAGGCTGTGCGATGGTGATGTCATTACTGAA